GCTGCCAGCTAGCAGGAAGGAGAAGTAATATTTCACAGCTCTGAAGTAAAGGAGGTCTGTATTTCACAGTTATGACAACATAGCTGTCAAATATAGCTTTTTAAAGTGTTACATATGAACCCAGACAGATTTTATGGTAGCATTTGTTTCAGAGGGCAATTTAAGGTGAGCCTTGAACGGTCTGGAATTCAGCTACTTGAGAAACTGTCTTTCCCACTATTGTTAGTTATAGCTATTAAGATCAGCTTCCAGGTGCTTTATGTCAGGTCTCCACCCAGCTGTGGTTGCTGCTGTCTGCAGAAGAATACCTGTGTTTGGTTTCACTGAGTAATATGTTGCTCCATGTCAATTCACATATAACAGGTATTTGAGTTGTTTATCTGTTGGGCGGAATAGAGTAGCTGCTTCTCACAAAAGATATAATGAAAAAAAAAAGGCTCTTAAAAGATTGTGAATGGCTACTGTGTCGTGTTTACACTGTGAAGGATGCAGGGATATGCAGCGTAATTTCTTGCATATATAAAGCGTTGGCTTTGGCTCCACTCACTCAGCATAAGACTACATGACTTCTATTGAAAGAAGCTATAATTATTTAGTTTGATCAGCAAATTTAGTAGAGCATCGTTCTATGACTAGTCAGGTCAGGTCACTGAACCCCTTAAGGTAAGTGTGTCAGGTTCTCTGATAGTTCAGATACAGCAGGGGTGTTGCACACGTTCAGTAGGAAAGCACTTTCATATCTTATAAACAAGCATTTCAGATTATGCCACGTGGGGGAAAAAATTTACACACACACTCACCCCTTTTACCGTGTTAACTATGATAAACCTAAGCCATTTGTGGAAGTACTTAAACTCACTGACTCTTAGCTAAATGATGATAATTTCCTAGGGAAGTTTTAGGGCTTATCCTAGAAGATATTCCTATAGTCTTCAGAAAGTAGTTCTTTTTAAGATGCACTGTTGCCATCAACAGATGCCTTGAGTAGACGCATAGTATCACAGTCTTTGCCATGCAGCTGATCTGTTCTGAAAACGTCATTAAGAGATTTAAATATGATTTCAACGTCCTGAGCGTGAATGAATGAACACCACGTTCCCTGTGTGAATTTTTCCCAGAGTTTGGTAAGGTTTTTCCACTTCTGAACTTGTGATTGTAGTATTTTATATTAAAATTGTGACCAAGAGGTACGACAAAAAAAAGGCTCAAATCCAAAACTGTTGTCTTCGATTGGCTTGAAGTAATATTTTTCATCAGCTATCTCTAGGGGCTGCTAATAGCAACATAGCTTTCTGTTATGTTGTAGTATAATACTACACGTTTCAGTCAGCAGAAATTTATTGGCTCTTTGAAATGTTGCAAAGGAGCTCTGTTCTCTTATGTGTTACAGAATCTTTTCTTAAATGCTGGTATGCTAAGAGTCTAGAATAACTTAGTATTTTCTGTTTGGCGGTGAAAATTGTTGAACATGCCTACATATCATTGAAAATAATATTTTTGTTAGTCCTGAAATAGTCTCAAATCAGCATGGTCACTGCCCTGCTGGACATCCTCCCCTATGAATTAGGGGACTTGATTTTTTCAGAGCTGCTTTTTAGCAGCAATTAATTCACTTCATTTAAAAAAAAAAAAAAAAGAAAAGGCATCCCAAAACTCACCTGCCTGTGACCTGGCTTTGATTTCTCTGGCTCTGAGGAATCTTGAGGGTGGTCAAACGTAGTAACAGGTTGCCCAGAAAAGCTGCAGAGACACCATCCCTGGAGACCGTCAAAATCCACCTGGACACAGTCCAGAGCAACCCGTTCTGGTTGCCCATGCTTTGAAGAAGAGCATTGGATTAGATATCTCCAGAGGTCACTTCCAACCTCATCTAATTCTGTGACTTTGTGATTTTTATGAATTATTGCACATGTAATAAATAATTCTGAATTATTTACATCTAAAGAGGGTTGCTATTCTTGAGCTTCATTCTTCTGTACTTGTTGGAGATGTCAAAAAATTTTGCCCATTATACATAGAAGTTCATGTAGCACATGGCTTTGATTTGAGTTGTGCAGTTGAAAATGATAACAAATTTCCTCTCTGCTCCGTTTATCATACGGAAAAATTAGCTATGCAAATGACAAAGCAGGAGGCTGAGCCCATAGTCCTTACGTAGCCTTAGAAGTTTTTGGCGTTGTAATTCTGTGACAGTGTTCAAGTGTTAAGAGCCCAAGAGGAACTGATCTGCAGACAAAAACATGTCTAAGGAATCTTGTAGGAAAATATTAATTAATCTTTCTCTGTCCTTCACCCCCAAATATATTAATTGAGATTGTTCAACATTTACTTGACTGTGCAGCTTTGCAGTAGCCACAAGATTTATGTGTTGCATAAAGTTGTTGTAGCAGACTGTTATATTTAGGCAGAAGTTGGTTTTCCTTATTTTATCTGGCTCTTCTGTTTGAAGCTGTTGCCTTTTGTTGGAATTGAGGTATTAATTGCAGTGGTTTGCTGTGCTCTTCTCGGAGCCAACACTTCAGTCCTTAATGTGTGTTTTTTTCCTTTTTTTTTTCCTGACAAGAGTTGTGTACATGGCTGCCATGACTATTTAACTAGATATTCTTTTTAAAAATGTTAGCAGTCTGTGGAGGGAAGGCAGTAGGAAATGAGGGTTTTGGGAGGAGGATTAATAGAAGACTGCCTTCTCCCTTTCTTTTAATTTCTCTTAAGATTGTTAAAGCTGTTATCACAGTTTTCCATGTTGGAATTTTTAATTAGTTCTATGACTTTGGGATTTATATGTAGATTTAGGCTGAAGTGCTCAGCCTATGCCGAGATGTCACATATAAAAATGGATGTGCAGCCAAATCTTCAAAGCTGTTCTGCAAAATTGGAGGCATTTAGCACTGGATGAGTCAGGTTGAGATAATAGTTTACAGTATATAGTTTTATTTCTATTAATTTTCAGTAATGGTGTTTTTCCTACATTTTGGTTTTTGAGGACTGCTTTGGTACGTCTGGCCATTAACCTTTCCTTGCTAGGGCTACACATCAAGGAAGGAGGAAAAGTATGTCCTAGTTCGTAAGCAGAAGTGGGAGGCTGGGAGGCCTGTACACTAGGAAAACAATTTTGAATAACAACACGTAAGGAGACCAAGCACGAATCCCCTCTGCTACAGAATCTCTACCTCCTACGTTTCCTTCCAAAATGAGAAGCCAGATGCGCAACTGATAAATATGAAATAGAATAGGAAAGAATTAGAAAATGCCAAAGGTTTTGCCTTTGAAGTGAGGAATTTTAAAACTGATCTTAGCTGAAAATTAAACACACGTATTCTTGAAACAGTGACAAATTACATTTGTCTGACAAATCTAATCTTGCTTGGCAATGTCTGAGGAAGATTAGTGTTGAGTAATGTGACAGAAGTAACTGCTTCAGTGGTGATTTTGTCCTCTTGAACATTGGTCTGAGAAGACGGACTCAGGCTAAATTTTCTTTGACTCATAAGCACATGCAGTAAACAAACGGAAAATGTAAAAGATCCAATTTCAACTTGGGAGGAAGGAATATTTCATTAGTAGTTTTGTTTTGTTTTTTTCCCCTGTATCACAACTTAATTACCTGTGGAATGGTCAATGCAGCATCTTCCATTCTGTGGGTGGCTCCAAAGCTATTCCATGTAGTGGAGCGTGCTTTGGAAATGCCATGGATGAGGTGCTCAGTAGTAGCACTACATAAGCTGTCTGGTCCATGTCAAAGAACCCCTTTGTAACTAGAGCAAAGGAAAATTTCAAAGCAAGAGTTCAGCTGTATAGCTACTCAATGCCAGGGATTCTCTAATATATCAAAGTTGTAAACGTGAAGCTAGATAGTTTACATGATAGTGATTTATAACTGTTGACATATCCTCTATTCAAGCTGTGTGCTATTCATGTTTGTGTTTGTTTTTAATGGGGAATGTTTAAAAATGGATAAATATTACTTTTGTCTGGTCAGAGATTTAGAGGGGGAAAAACAATACTTTAAAAGGATGTTTTGTTTTTAGACACTGTTGAATCCTCTGTCTTCTTTCTTCCCAAGAATAAAAAAACCCACCAAAACAAAAAAAAAAAAAAAAAAGAAAGAAAGAAAACCCAACTGTGGTTGTTGCAGTGAAGCCAAACTGAAATCTATTTATAAGTGACTGCGGGAGATGTACGTTATGATTGCATTTAGTCTGTGTCTCCTGTTCCCACCTCTGAAAAGCATAGTAATTTCTGGCATCTGTGAAGCAAAGGATAGTTTACATATAAAGGCTTTTGGACTTTACAGTTAAAAATGCACTTCAATATGTGCATATAATATATATGTAAATACATATTTTTATCTGCTGCAACTTATTTCTTTGATATTCTTTCACTGCGTAACTTTCTTAATCAGAAAATAAATACTCTTTGTAAGTGGATCTTCGTGTTTTCTCAGAAGTACCGTGTTGCAGTTTGTTTAATGGTAAGCGTAAGCTACAGGAAGAATACTACTAGGAGGTTGTTAAATCTGTAAGTGAAACACATGTCTTACCTCGCTTGTGTCCCAAGCCCAGTTTTGCTGTTTGTGTATGCATATTTACGTTTACACTATATATGTTTGAGCATATAAAGTTATGTATGTATGCACATGTGTGTAGACACGCACACATCTAGATGAAGGATTATGTATTTGGACACTGTGGTTTGACTAGCAGTTGAGTTGTAACTCAGCTCAGCTGTTGAATTACATAGTGGGGGACTGGGAAGCATGATGGAAAGACAAAATCACAATGGAATGGAGGACTAGTGGTAGCTTATAAGAAGGAAGATGAATAACAGTGGGCTTTCTTAGCCCTTTAGCATCCTAACAAAATGCTGTTTGTAAAATAAAAAATACATAAAATGAATTACATGAAGTATTATTAAGGACTGAAGTAATGGAAATGAGAGAAAAAGGGGAAGACAAAAGAGGCTTAGTTAAATGATCTTTATAGACTATCTGTTACTTTCACTGACCATGACAAAGCCACTGGCAATGGAAAGCATGATCTAGTAATCAGAATTTGAACAAATCACATTTTTATTTGGTTGATAGCACAGTTTCTCATACTAGGTACAGCACTCTCCTGCCAGTTGTGATTTGTTAATCCCATCCGGAATTCTGTACAGCAAGCTTCCGTTGTACAACAGTGCAGGAAATACTGGAATCTCACAGCAAGCAACAGGCCTATATTTAAGAAATTGCAAACATTCTGCTGTTACCTACTAGTCAAATGTAAGGTATTAAAGATGTATGTCCAACAGACTCTTTTTTTTTTGTACTTGTACGAAACAAGTACATAACATGTGCTTGTTAGTTTTGCTCACTGCGTAAGTGTTCTGGCTGTAGTTATGTATTTGCAGATTGTTAACATAATTAGAGCTGTCTAGATGAATTGTTAAGCAAATAAACTTTTCAACAAATAAGTAAATACTAGCTTGGTGGTTTTGAGTTACTTTCCAGTTCCCATATTTAGACTTAAAACTCAAAATTATCTTCTTAAACAAACATTTGCAGACAGGATGAAAAAAACCCAAATGGATGATTTTATTAAAGAATATTTCCGTTAAAATATTTGTATGAGTGGATAAAGCTCATTCTTGCAAAACTAACATTCTCTTTTCAGTATAAATCTTAGAGTATTAAGTAGAGGTACTAAAATTTCATGAAACATGCCTTCCTGCTGTGTTTGTTCAAAAGAAAACCAACCATCATTTTAAAAACCAAAATAGATCAGCCATCAGTCACCTCTGAGCAGGACGAGGCCTATCTTGTGCTTATTTAAGCAATACATAAAATCTTGTAAGGAAATGATCTACAACGGAAGTAGAGTGACACTGTTTCTTAAATATTTTCATTATAGCTTCTAGTACTTGGACAGCTTGAAAGCCTTATAGAATTGAATGTTACTACATGTTAGATGTTAATGTGTTTTAGGTTACCCTGTAGCATAAAAGTCATTGTCAGAGCAATAAATAATTTAGAAAAATCGTAAACCACATAATGCTTCAGAGATTTTGTTCAATGTATTTTTGGGGCATAGCAAAAGAAAAATGTTAAAGAGTTTACAAGAATACTGTATGTAAAAAGTATTTATTCAAATACATTATTCTAAAAGCCCTTTATGACAGTCCCATTCTCCAAGATGTTTCAAATTTAAAAAACGAAGAAAACTAGGACTGATGCTGAATCTTAGTATGCTATTAGTATGATATTGGGATGTTTTAAGGTTTTTCCTAGCAGTGCGTACTTGAATTATCACATGTGCTTCAAAAGTGTCATTGATTGATAGCCCGAGTTGTTTTCCTGATGCCTAAAAGGATATATGGTATCTGGTGATAATTTACCTGTTAGTGGTGTCTTAATCTGGAGGAAGACCCATACATAGCATTAATCTCTGGTCCATTGTATTCCACTTCACTCCTTTAGTACAGAATTACTGACATTACTAGTCTCTCAGTATCACTGACATCAAATGCATAAAAAAAGTCACGTTTATAAAACTTCAATTTACAGGATGGGTTTTCAAATGTATCCTTGTAGTGGTGGTGGTAGTAATAGTTCTTAGCTACACAGGTGCACAAAAGAAAGCGTTGAACTGCTTTGGAAATGCATGTGGTTTTTTTTAAAATGTAAGCTTTCTCAGAAACAAAATAGCCTTTGGAACTCCTTTGGAATTTGTAGCAAATCTACAGGTGAGCAATGAACACGTGTAAGAATATTAACATGTAAACGATCTGTATCTACTTACTGATTGCATTTGTTTTCCACAGTTTTTAAGTATGCATTGTTGCGTGGCCACTGGCCTGACATATACACATATAATAAAGCTGGATTTTTGTCTCTCTTTCAGAGGGTTCGCAGAGTTCAGTTTCAGCTTCTAATGAGATCCAGCAGAACCAGCCACAGGCACTACACTATGCACTAGCCAATGCTCAGCAGGTTCAGATCCACCAAATAGGAGAAGATGGACAAGTCCAAGTAGTATGTACTCAACTTTTTCTAAATTATTCCATTTAAATGATCTCGATTATTGCAAACTTTGCTTCAGTTGAAAATTAATTTTTTATTTTGAAAAAGGCACCTACCATCACTTTTTAAGCATGATTTTCAGAACATAAATATTGAAGGCTTATGAAAAAATCTTTAGAGATATTTGGCAAAAATCTTCATGCAGCATTTGCTTACACAATTGTTGCAAATACATGCACATAGAGTTCTGTATATAGAGTTGACTAGTCTCTAGCTGGCTGTTTGCTTGCACTTGCCATAATAATAATAGCAGACCCACTAAGCATATGATTTACACCTCAGAGGTAGTTCTGGCTATGCCTTCCAAAACAAGAATGCATTTATTTGTTTATTTTCATTTTAAAACCCCTACATTCTCAGGCATTTTGGAACATCTGTTAGCTGAAGCCTTTACATGTGTATTCATTTAGATGCATGTATGTAAGTAAAAGTTATAAATATTGACATTTTTTAAGCCTGAGACTCCTACCACAACTCAGGCCATGATTATTTTTATATGTGGTTTTAGTGTACTCTGAAAAAACTCACCTTGGCTTTAGTTCCTGTGTGCCACAGTTTGACTACAAGGATTGTTTTAAATTCAAATTTTTTAAAAAAAGTGGAAGAAAATAATGAAATAACGGATTGTGTGGCATTTCTGACGTGTGGCATTCAGAAATAGTGAATTATATCTGCACACTCATTCTTTTGTGGTAGAAACCGGAGAATTTAATGTGTGAAATCTGTCTGCCATTAGTTTTCAAAAACTTCAGGCTTTGCAGTTTACAGCATTTATCTGTGGTCATACAACACAGCAAATTTTTCACTGCTAGTATTAGCGTTTTGAAGGTACGCAGAAGCCTGAGTATGGGCCAGCACTCAACTGTGCCAGGCAGTGTCCAAGCACAGAACAGAAAGAAATGTGCAAAGACACGTATGTACCCGTTCTGCATGATGATCACATAAGCCAGCTTTCTCTTGAAACCAGGCTAAAAAAAACAGGTGGAAATGGGCAAATAAACAAGAATTCTTGAGAGATACTAGTCAACAATATAACTGTAGTACCCAGTGGTCTGGCTCTTGTAAAGGTTTTGGTCAACGCCATTACAAAGAAGAGTCTGAAGTAGGATAATGAAGCATTTTTGGTAGATACTTACAGTGTTCTCTCCCCAGGTAAGAGAGGCAGTGCAGGAGAGGAGGAGCAAATGTGCCCCATTGATTCATTTACACATAAAGAATGAGAAAACTCCATTAACACAGGGAATACTCAAGTTTGGTCATGTAGAGCCGCAAATAGCGTGGAAATGGTGATGTTGCTCAGAAATACGATGAAGAAAAAATACTATGAAGGACAGATGCTTTGGGAATGTTATAAAAAAAATACATGTCTCTAAAACCTGATGAAGGTTTACCCAAGAAGCAGTAGAAGAATCAGAGGAGCAAAGTGTCATGGAAATTGGGGGAAAATTTCAAGATGTGTGGCACAGTGTTGAAGGCAATCGGCAGAGCTGTAAGCATTGCTTAAAAGGAAGACTACAATATTAGCCAGAATATTTTTTAAGGAGTGTGTGGAAGTGGAAGGAGCTCCAGACAGCAACTGTAAGAGTTGTGGGGAGGAGATTGTGTTAGAGCGTGCATTTTTCCCAAGTGAAAAAGGTTGCTTATAAAGTAAGTCAAAAGAAAGAGCTGGAATGTGGGTGTAAGGGATGGTAGGAACCGTTAGCTGTGAGATTCAGATAGGGTTGGAAAGTCTGGGCCATCCCTCTCGTTTTCCCAAAGGCCTTGCCCTTCCCTGTTATGTACCTGGATACCATATGACTTAAATGGAAGTTGAGCTAATTCTGGAGGGTGATTGCTTAATGGAACTAGATCCTAAATGCTTTGAGTTACTACTCTCAAACTTGGAAGAGGACTAAAGAGAAGTTCAATAAATTAACTTTCAAACTTTTTTTCCTGTCAGTTGAGAACATCCTCAAGTGAAGTAATGCTTTTTCTGCAGGAACTGGGTGCACAGGTTCCATTTCCACTTCACTTTTGCCATAACTTTACAGTATTATCATGTGAATTTCTTTGTCTCTTGGTTTCCCTATATATTTTAAAAAGCATATCTTCTTAAGTACTGTATAGATCTTTTTATGAGATTCAATTGATGACTGAAAAGTATTTTTCAAGTCTTGAAAGACAAGGTGGAAGAGACAGTTATATGAAATACATGGATATAATAGACAAAATGGTTATGTTTATAGACGTAAGTGATGAAACTTTGCCCCTTTAAAAGATGTGGACTTGTCAACTATCCTTGAAATGGATTCTGGAATTCAGGAAAAATCCACTATGACCAATATCTAAATGTTGTCATAATTTGTCAAACATGTAAAGGGGTCCTAGGTTGAAACAGATGAAAATGGTATTGCTTTTCCAGTTCTAGGGAATCATACATAAAGATCAGGCTAAGAGTCCTTAGTAAGGTCGTAGTAATTTATACTGTATATTGTTTAAAAAAAATCAGTATTGAACTGAATTTGTGAACAAACTAAAATGAGTGTCCTTGAAGGCCAGCTATGTATCTGCAAAAGATGAGTGAGCAGTTCTTTTCTGGAATGCTGCATGATACAAAGGTGAATAAAGTCACCTTCTCCCCCCTCCCTTTAGTCAGAAAGGATTGCTTATATTGGAAAACACAAAGGGATCTTTTAAATGTTCAGTGCTTTTTCCTGGGAGCCCTGAGAGCTTGATGTTAAGGAGGGAAAGTGATTCTAATCTCAACATGGACTGGGCTGTGCTCTAATTTTATATACAGTCCCTATTGTCAGAATGATACTTTCAGTATGTTTTTTCTCTCTATAAATAGACAGTTTCCTTCCAAAGGAAATGAAACTGTTTGAAATAGAGGGATCTGTGTTTCTTTGAAAATCACATGCAATTGTTCTTGTGCTATAAAATAAGAAGAGCCTTTGACAGAATTCCAAATGATTATCTTTAATCTCTGTCTCATGCAGGCATATTAAAATGAACACAAAGCCTTATAAACCCTGAAGTAGGTTATTTAGAATCCAATCTCCCTTCAGGTAAATCACAGTAGCAAAGACTTTGCTGGGCTAGTCAGGATGCACAAGGAATCCCGTCCACTCTCTTATCTGTGTTTTGATCAAATGGTAGGCTTGATACCATTCTGAAGTGGTGGGTATGGTCAGCAATACAAAGTATTAACATTACTAAAGCTGTTTAGTGCAGATTCTCCACTAACATAAACCAGTGTAACTGCATTCAAATTAATGACTTCATGCCAATTTATAGCTGCTTGAGAGATAGTCTTTAGCACGGTACTGTGCTTAACCATAACTATGTGAATGTACAAAGATACGTGGATACTTACAGATACCTTTTAAAACTTCACTCTTAGTGAGCAATTATTCGTGGCGTATCTCTTTTAAGAACTGACTTTCCAAGGTCTTTAAATGGGGTTAATGTTCAGGCACAATGCTAATCTACCAAAGCAAGTTAGTCCCATGCCTTGTGGATCAGTCAAAAATGCATATACTTTGTAGAGAAATGCATTACATAAATATTATTTATTCTTATGCCTATTTTCTTTCCTCTTATGTGAAAATGAACCATTCTTTTTTCAAAGTCACTCTGCTTATACTTTGCATTAAAAAAATGGGGAAATATGGATGTACTTTATTTTGTTTAAAGCTATCTTTAATGGTTTTCATTGAATAAGCGTTTTGCTTCCGTACATTAAGCTGTGTTGAATCCAAGGTGATAGCTTCTTCCTCTAGTTATGATTTTCTTCTGATGCTCCTTGGTGTTTTCGTTTGTTGTGGATTCCACAGGGCCATCTCCACATAGCCCAGGTTCCTCAAGGCGAGCAAGTCCAAATCACGCAGGACAGTGAGGTAAGCCGAACGTTTGGGTGCCCGCGGAGCAGTTGTTGGCCAGAACTTAGGGCCCTGATTCTAAAACCGTACCTCTGAGATCGGTTACAGTACACTGGAGAGACCAGTGTGGGTAGAAGCAAGAGCATATGGTGGAGCCAGGATGAAATGTGGTTTATGACAGTAAATGCAATATGCCATTTCTGTCTTGGTGTGGGGGTGTGGGTTTGGAGGGTTTCTGTTTGTTTGTTTGTTTGTTGATTTGGGTTTATTTTGGGTTTGGTTTTTTTTTGTCCCTTGGCCAGCCAAGACAGTTCAGTGTGTGTGTTACACTAATGATTGTTGTATATGGCTGTCTTCATTGGAAATTTAGTACTTGCAGAGTGTTATAGGAAACCAGCCTAAGTGCTTGCACTGCCATTGAGAAACAAAATTATTTTCGTTAGCTTTATGAACTAAATGTGTTCAGAATACTCTGTCTTTAATTGTGGCAACTGTTGAACAGGAGCTGGGGAAACCTTCAGATGCCGTCTAGTAAAGATACATTGCAGAATAAAGTGAACTTCATTTCATTACTGATCAAGTGATCTGGCATTGCAGTATTTGCACTTCATATTTTTTTCATAAAAATAGTACAGCAGAATGGAAGTGGATAAACCCAGTACTGAACCCTCCAATTTTGACTTCTTTTTTTCTCCCCACTCAGGCGAAACAGCTATTAAAGCCAGCTGAATTTACCTGAGGGAGAGTGCTATTGTTGATTATTTAAGAATATATAGGGACTCCTAACTGCTAAGACTGCTGTTAGATTTCTTGTGCACTTAGTTTGTTTACATGAAGCAGCGATAGCGAAATAAGGTTAAACATAAATGCAGACTACAATTTTAATCTGCGTGATTTCCCTGTGGAGTTGTTTTACTCAGTGTTAAGCATATCTGCTTGTTGGGTTAGTTTAATCCACCTCCAAAGTACCCTAAATCACATCTCATAAAACCACTGTTGGTGCGGAGGAATACTGTTAACACAGGGAACTATTATAGAATAAATATTATCATAAATATTATAGTTAAAGGCAGTCTCCTTTGAAGGGCTTTTCAGACCTAGAAGGGAGTAAGAAAGGATTAAAATGTTCTGGGTCTAAAGGAATGCACAGTGTGCTACAAGAAAACTGAAGCAGTTCTTGGGTAAAGAGCCACTGAAATAATTACGATTCAGCAGATAGTAGTTGTAATTGATCCTGAGCTTCAGGCACACCCCGGTGTCCATTGGCTTCATCTGAAGTTCCCATGTGTGAGAGTTTTAGGGACTACGTTTGTCCGTGACAGATGAAAACATCTGGTTTTAAATTTATTACAATGTACACAGCTTCAAATAAGAGGAAGTGCTGCCAGTACGAGAAAATGCAGAAAACATGCAAATCAATGAATTGGTATTTTTTCTTCAAAGAAATGTGTTATTTCACTGCAAGTCTCTGTGTTTGGGAAGCTGTTTTTTCTTAATCTAAGTGTACTTTAGAAAAGACATCTCTGAGCATGTGAATAAAAAACTTCATTTTTTTTAAAAGATACTGCTTTCCTTTTTAGACTTTGTAGCTACAGTTTCCTTTAAAATACTTTACATTATTGAGAATTTTTGGTAATAGATGTAATTCCTGTAAAACAACTATGTTGGTCTCTGGTATTAAATTTTGATAAAATAAAAAGATCTGTTAGCACAGGCAGTAACTCTATAACAACAAATAGTAAATAGCACGTCATACATGTGAAAGTGTTATACTGCTAATTCTAGTTTAGTAAGGGTTTGACCTAAATTTGCAGTTTTGTATAAATAAGGAAAACCAAAAGTCTTACCTCAAAAGCCGTACAAACAAACTTTGCAGAAAAATACTGTACATTATACAGTAACTTTCAAAAAGCAAAACATGCTGGTGCTGAAAAACCTACTTGCTTTTTAGTCTGTTTATCCTCTGTGGTTAAAGTGCTGACCATTGAATTGTAGCTGGATTGCCAAAATAACCCTCAGCAGAATTTCCTAAATTAATAGATTTCCTTAATATTGGAGTTGTTTAATAATGAGATGAGAAACAGGCCTTTTTCAGGACAGAGCAACTTTTTAAATTCCAAAGTTGGTTTATTGTCAATGCTTCTATTTTACAGGGAAACCTGCAGATACATCAAGTTCATGTGGGTCAAGATGGGCAGGTAGGAACAGAACTGATTTTTTAAGCAACATTTTACTTTGGTCTTTAAAATTAATGTTGCAGTTGGAATGATCTCACATTATTAGTGGCTGTTTTAAAGAGCAAAATCTGTTCTGGTCTTTCTGTTTAAATAAACAACTTGCAAAATGATAAAGCATAAGCTAAGTATTTTGTCTGTGGACTCAAAAGTATTTGACCAAGCTTATTTCATTACTCCTGCAAGATACTTTATCCCTGTGTTTTATACTTGCTTGTCTTTGGCCTCCTCACTCTTACGTTCACTAACTGAATTGATTATATTGTGTACAGTGTGTTCTTTTCTCTGTTACCAACTGTCCCTATGGCCAGATGTGGACTGCAGTCCATGCAAACCTAGGAACATCTATTGCCGAGGTTTAAGCAGCTATTTTTTCATTATATGGCTGTCTTGGGAGAAACAGATCTTTCGCATCTGCTTTTGTTCTTTTTGATAAGATGCCTTTATTAGGTGCTTATGCATACATGAGGTAAGAAAAAGAAGCTTTTACTTTGAGTGATGAGTCAATAAGTGATTAAATTAGCAGAATTTCCATGTCAGGTGTCAGCAAAATTGGTAACATTTGATCTCAGACACACTTTACTAAATGGTGAACTATATTAAAATATCCATAGCACAAAAATATTCCTGTAAGAAGCTTTCTAGCCAGGCCACTTGAATGAATGTTATGTATTTTTTTTTTTTGTTCCTGTTGAATATTAATAAGTTGTGAGACATATGGCTAGAACTTGAATACTGCCCTGAATTGAAAAGGCTCACATGAAGGGTCTTGAACTCCAAGGTCTTGAGAAGCTACCAAATACTCTGAACTTTTGAATACCTAAAGTATTTGTGTGGAGAAGCAATCTAATTTGTATTAAAAAAAAATTAAAAAACCCAAACACTTTACATGTTCTTTACTGAGTTTTTAATCAGAAGTACTTTTGCAGAAGTGAGACTAGGAAAGGTGAATTTTTGGAGTCATGTCAGAACCTTTGTTTTAGTACTTAGTGTTCTTTTTTTCCTCCTTTGTGAAATACCACTGTCCAAATTACACCATCTTAAAAAGCTAATATTGGGTGGTGTTTTGTCTCTCCGAGAGTGGCATGTAGATTAAGTTACTTTTTTTTAAATTATAGTTTAATACCATTATTTTTCCCCTTGAAATACCTATTCATAACAAGTATTCCACAAATTGCATCTCTCTCTCTCCCTCAAATAGAACCAAAGAATGTAGTTTAAAACATCATTGTGAGTTCATGCTATTTTTAAGGGAAATGCCTTGGATGACCATATTTTCCCTGCGTTAGGCAGGGAGAGGTGAGTCCTTTCATACAACAGTACCATTCAGCTGCGTCTCATACTAAAATAGTCCTGGAGTAAAAAAAACGGTAAACTCTAGAGTAGTAAAAAACTTCCAAACTCTGAATCCCCCTAAGTAGAGTCTTGCTGATCATCAGAGCAGTTGCATTAGTACACACAGAATAAAGCTATGCTGGTAGAAAAGGGTTCTAAAAGTATGTTTGTAAATGTGTATATACATGTGTCTGTGCATATATATAGATATGTGATGTATGTTTGTTGAAGTGTGTGAGAGCACACACAAGATAGGGAAGAAAAGTATGATTTAATCAAATTCGTTGCTGTTGAAATCAACATCAGCTTATCTGTGTAAAGACATCTGCAGTATTACAGAGTATTTCATATCTGGGATAATTTTGGTTCCGCCTAAGTGGTTGTGGCTGTACGTGTGTATGTAGGAAATCAGTTTAGCATCCAACTTTTGGGGTTTTTTTTAACTAACTGTACTCCAGGCCCTGCTTTTTAAACTTTCCTTGTAAAGAAATGGTGAAGTGCTGGGTTTTTTTCTTCGTGCACTCAGCTGCATTTGGTGCACAAGAGTAACTGCTATCTCCCGAGGATCAACAGCCAGACGCTGTCACACTTCAGCTGGCCTCTGCAAATTCACAGCAGCCCTCAAGAGCCTTCAAAAGTGCTTAACTGTTTTCCAGTAGACCAAAAAATAGGAGCAAGCAAATGTTTAGGGGATTTTTATCTCCATTCTGTTGTAGATACTGAAACCTTCATCAGCAGTTTAAGCCATGTGGGCTTGTTTTGCACTGAAGTGGATGAGTAGCACTCACATGATTCCTTGCAACAGCTCCATGCGTGTGTTATGCGAAGGGGTAGAAGGGAGGTCTGTGGCTCAACTGGCTTCTGCTCATCAGCTGATCTGTGTTAAACGACCATTTTTTGAGCTATTAGCTCATGAAAATTGCAAAGCAAAATGAGTTAAACTAAACTGTGTTTGTGGTTTAAGAATGGAAGTTGAAACTAGTACATTTTCCTTGGCGCTTGTAGTGGGATAAGAGCACAAAAACCTGTCATATGATATGGTTCAGTGGTAATGTAAGTCATAACAATCCAGTAGCTTGCAATCATCTGTACATGACCTGCGATCAAAGAGACTTCTGTAGTTTTCCCACCTGTCCATTACTTTTCAGGAGAGTGGCTTTTTCTTCTGCATTTTGAACTCTAATGCACGCTGCCAAGGGACACTGAAGAATATTGATAGTAAGGAAAGTGAATAATGTAACACTTCTGTTACTGAATATTTTTAGCTGACTAATATATACTTACTAATGGTACTAGATCTTAGCTTGGCTACTAAATACTCCCTTTGAAAATTCATCTCATGCTGCCGTTTTCCACATATTATTGCGCGCTTAACAGATGTTAGGTATTCTCTCTATTCGGGTGAGGTTTAGTACTGCCGCCTGATGCAGCTTTCGCTCTGAATCACAAGTAAAAGGTTTACAAGAAGCTGAGACTGCAAAGCTTAAAGTTCTTAGTTTCATAAGAACTAAAGCAAGAAAATGGCATAAATGTACTGTGAAATTTTTTCAGTAAAATTTCCAAGGTGATAGATAATGTTTTAAGCTTTGTAATATTAGTAATAAATACTGGCTTCTCTGCAGAATGATGCCTGTTGTTGATTTTTAACTCCCCCCCCACACCCAAATTGTCTGTCCTGGTAGTTGTACTGAATTTAGATTTTGTTTTTCTGGCATCATTGTTCATGGAACTAATGAAACCATGCCAAAAAGAATGCTGTCTACCTACACATGTGTTCTATTAGCTGAAAGTTTCGTATTTCAGTGCACGTTTAATAAAAATACCAAACTGCAAAAATAATTAGACTTCATATTAACTAACACTTGAAGCCTTGGACCAGTGGGAGTTTTTTTGGACTTTGCATTTTGTACTTATGAGTTACCAGAAGCTTTCTAATTTGTCTCTCTCTTTCCTCTGATTATCTGCCCTCTTTTCTCCCTAGCTCCATCCTTTTCTTCCTTTGAATTTCAGTGTTCTGCATCCCGGGAAGTGTTCAGTGTGTGTCCTGCACAAGCTGACATAGTGCCACAGTGTTCAGGAGTGTATGTGGGGTATAAAGAGGTAGAACGGGACAATTTCAGCAGTTTGACGTTGCTTGATTCTGCATTTTAGACATTCCATTTTGTACATCTTCACAGCCAGTGTTTCTCTGATTTAGAAATTAATTAAAATGACACCAGGCAAATGGTCTTCAACTAATACCCTTAGTTTTTAAATTAAAAAGTTAATGCACTTCAAAATCTAAAATATGATCATATGTATTCCTGGAGAGCTGACAATTTGTTTTGCTCAATGAATGAAAAATTACTAAGAGTAGCAGCGTTTAGTTCACTTAGTATCAGTATCTGTAGGTAAGTTAGAAGAAGCAGGAGAATCCAGAACAAACAGCACGTATGATAGGTTTAGCAGGCAAAAGCTAGCCGGTGTAAATTGCTTTTGTAGTGTCAGTCTTCTTACTGTGTGCCTATGAAATACGCATGTGGAGTTGCTTCTGCTACATTACACTTTTCAAAAGGAAACTTGGCATCTTATACAGTTGTAGATACAGACTCTTCCAGAGAAGTTTGTGATCAAAGGGGTGCCCTGAGACCCATCCATAACTGCTGAGTTATATATACGGAGAGGGGATTGCATTAATAACACGTTTTTCTGCTGCTGAATAAGGTATTTCTATGGAGCAGTGAGTGCATTATCTTTTTCTGAACTTCTACTCTGACCTTGCCACTGTGGGCTTCGTGGCAGCTGAGGTTTAGCAGAGTTCAGATACAGGGCTCTGGAAGTAGCTCACCAAGTAAGCTTTAGCAAATGTCCTCATATGTGTAATGATCATATGAGAGTATACGAATCCGTGGTCAGTAAGGATATTCTTGGAAAATTGCTGTAGTGATGGAGAAAATACAGCAACCTTCGGTGCTGCCGTTGGGCCCGGAAGGTTGGAATATAAACGTGTATGAGAAATAGATCAGTGAGAGTTTGTCTCAGGAGGAGTATGAATCTGATGTCTCGTTCAGATCTGGTTTCAATACACATAGTGCACCCTGTAATACAGCTCAGGAGGAGATGCGACCTCATCACCTATGTTTGAAACATTTGTCCAATTTCTGCACTCTGCTGTAGTCTGAAGGGAAGGGCAAGCTGTTAAATCGTAGAGGAATGGAAAAGGGGGAGAAATGGTTCCAAACGTTCAGTGGAAAAAAACCCTATTCTAATAATTCCACCTAATATCCAGTGAATCTTATTTGTGACTGGATCAAGCTAAAATGAAAGTAGGTTGGTTTGTGGAGGAATTTATGTACAAACCAATGGGACAGTCTTAAACCAACTCTTTTAACGTCTAGTTTTTGTATCTCTGTTTACCTCCTGGGTCATTATTGAGATATTCACACCTTGCTTTTCAGTGAGGGCACCACATTTTTTTAAGATCCAATTTAATGCATAACTCGAGCATGATTTTTTCAGTTACACAAACAAAAATGTGTTGACATATTAACTCTGCCTCTGCTCACTTGTATGCATTTTGCAGATGTTATTTTATTGGGAAGGAAAACTGTTTAATATATTTTCTAAATAAGCATTTTAATTGCCTTTAC